TGACTGAAAGCGTGTCTGAAGTTGGAGCTAACGCGGTCGTCATAGTAGCGTCAGCCAATAAAATTCAGTCAGCAATAGGCCACTGTCTAGCTGGTGTTTTGCATACAGCGATCTGATTGGCTGATGCTTCCGTCGGCACTTGAAAAGTTGAGCTAGTCCCAACTTCTGCAGCGAGCAACGTCTCTGAAGTGGCGCCGACGGATCCACAATGCAGTTCGGCAACGCCTGATGTCACGCATTCAAAGTGAATGGGAAGCGTTGACGCTGAAGCCCTGTGTGAATGGGACGTAAGGGTTGAGTTTAGGGAAAGGGGTGGGTGGGTTGGTCGGTCTGGTCAGCTGAAGTCTATATTGCACCCTCTAGTGGATTTACAGGACACGAGAGAAATTTGAGATCAAAAAGCATACACACAGCAGCCTTTGGTGGATTTATATGTTCCATATATATGTGAAGCTGCTTTGACACAATCTACATTGTAAAAGTGCTATAGAAATAAAGGTGAATTGAATTGAATTTGTAAAAACTAAAACTGCGAGCAGACGTACCTCCAGTTACGTATTTCGCCGTCCCAAGAAATGTAGACTTGGGTACGTATCCACAATGAGCCTGGGTTGTTTAATTTAATTGTGTTGCTTTTAATTAGATGTATCTGGAGATTTTCAATCCCTAATTGGTAAGATATTTAAAGGGTGTCTTGGAGGGGAGAGGTGTCCAACCTACAGCATCTAAACACTGGGGTACCTCAAGGCTCTGTTCTTGGGCCACTTCTCTTCTCCATCTACACGTCATCTCTAGGACCAGTCATCCAGAGACATGGATTCTCCTACCACTGCTATGCTGATGATACCCAGCTATACCTCTCTTTTCAAACTGATGATCCCTCGGTTCCAGCTCTCATCTCAGCCTGCCTGTTGGACATTTCACACTGGATGAAAGATCATCATCTTCAGCTGAACCTCGCGAAAACGGAAATGCTTGTAGTTTCTGCCAACTCGACTCTACACCATAACTTTTTAATCCAGATGGATGGGGCAACCATTACTGCATCCAAAATGGTGAAAAGCCTTGGAGTAACGATTGATGACCAACTAAACTTCTCTGACCACATTTCTAGAACTGCTCGATCGTGCAGATTCACACTCTATAACATCAGAATGATCCGACCCTTCTTATCTGAACATGCAGCTCAACTCCTTGTTCAAGCTCTTGTTCTCTCCAAACTGGATTACTGCAACTCTCTACTAGCGGGGCTTCCAGCTAACTCTATTAAGCCTCTTCAGCTGCTCCAGAATGCAGCAGCACGAGTGGTCTTCAATGAACCTAAACGAGCACATGTCACTCCGCTGCTAGTCCATTTGCACTGGCTGCCAGTTGCTGCTCGCATCAAATTCAAAGCTCTGATGTTTGCCTACAAGGCGACTTCTGGCCTTGCTCCTTCTTATCTGCTCTCACTTCTGCAGATCTATGTGCCCTCCAGAAACTTGCATTCTGTGAATGAACGTCGCCTCGTGGTTCCATCCCAAAGAGGAAGGAAATCACTTTCGCGAACGCTCACGCTCAATCTACCCAGTTGGTGGAATGAACTCCCTAACTGCATCAGAACAGCAGAGTCACTCGCTATTTTCAAAAAAACGACTAAAAACTCAACTATTTAGTCTCCACTACACTTCCTAATCTGCAATTGCCTCTCTGAATATACCACTAACTGTACTCAAAAAAAAAAAAAAAAGTACTAATACTTTCCTTCATAGACTTTACAGACCTGAAACTTGCCTACAGCACGTATCCATTGTTGCTCTTATAGTTGTGTAAGTTGCTTCCTTGTCCTCCTTTGTAAGTCGTTTTGGATAAAAGTGTCTGCTAAATGACTAAATGTAAATGTAAATGTAACCCTTAACAGACCTTTGTATGGCAGGATCATATCAAATTAAAATACTTATGAATGTAAATAAGATCTGGTATCTATATTGGATGTCCTTTTGTTTTATGATGTCATTTGAAAGTGTTTTTTTGTTCTGTTTTGTTTGAAAAATCCATGTACTGCACATCCATGACGTAAATCTCCCATTCCAGTACATCACAAAGCTGGACTGAGACCTGATGAATGTGGTGCACATTTGAGTTTAGTGATCATACTGTCATTTTCAGATGATTTAGCTTTGTGGCACATATTCTCATAACTATAATCACTACATTTGTACATATTAATAGTACATCATTATTAATTGAATCTACTGTTATTGTAAAGTGTTACCAGCATAAGTACCTAATAAAGTGGCCGGTGAGTATATTTAAGATAGCAATGCATTTATTTTTGTTCTCATGTCCTTACAGTCAGGAGGGAACTTGTATTATTCAGTCATCTGTTTAAACACAGGGGTATGTATATTTATACTACAACATTATTCAATCATTCAGTATGACTTAAATCATTTTAGAAATAATGTATTAAGCATTCGTTATGGAATACATTGTGCAATTCAGAAAGAAAACACCAGAATAAAAGAAGTTGAGGACATCAATGACAACTCTCCGATCTTCGAGAGCAAAACATACAGCGCAACAGTGTCTGAGGTGTGTAATGTCTCATCATTGTGCGTTTGATCAATGAGAAACCAGATATTTCTAAGTAATCCTTAGGTTTGTCTTCCAGAAACTGGCTGTGGGTTCAGATGTGCTCAGGGTAAAAGCTGAAGATATAGATATTTCTCTAGAAAACAGCAGAATTACATATTCTATATTGGTGCGTGTACACTAAATCTCTTGTATTTGATCTGTTACTAGTACAACAGGCTTCCACACAACTGTATAGTTCAATTTTAACTTCGCTGTTCTTATTTGCACATTTCCTGACAGCCTCCAGCACCAGAGGACTTTGAAGTGAGAAGTGATGGAAATATCAGGTTGTTGAATCGCCTGAACTACAACAACTTTCACCAGTACATCTTCACAGTGGAAGCTCAAGTAAAGACACATTCTCAGACATCCTGCTAAAAAAGTGTTGCATGCTGAACTATTGCAAACAAATTTATTTATGTTTAACTTATTTTAAATTCAGCCCAAATAAATTGTTTACAACCACTTAACGTAAAAAAAATTAAGTAAATCCAAGGAATCATCTTTGAATGTTTTTTTTTCATTGTGCGCCTAAGAAAAAAACTTAAATCTGCAAGTTTTACTCAACCTTAAGTTTTTCCTTTCTTAATTTAATTTGCAGAATGATCGAGCTAGGGTACTGAAAAAACTGACATTGCAATATATATATATATATATATATTTTTTGATACACAGTAGTGTAAAGTAACTAATTACAATTAGTCAGACTACTGTAATTGAGTAGTTTTTCTCAGGAATTGTAGTTTTAAAAACGTGTACTTTTACATTCCCTTCAGTACATTTTTAGTGCTTTATCGGTACTTTTACTTAACTACTTTCCTTCAACCTGCAGTTATTTTTTTCCTGTCTATGGGAATAAAATCAGTCCTGTGATTCCTGTCCAATCAAGTCGCACATAGAAGGAAAATCGCACCACAATAAACTACCTCAGGACATGGGTGATTTATAATTGCAGCAAACTGTTTGGATGCATTAGAAAGTGTCTAAGAAGATGTCCAAAATCTTTACATACATTGACCCAGAGACTGTTTAGATGCAGGTCACTAATGAAAAAATGACAGATGTTTACTGTATGATGACTGAAATGGCCTTAATCACCCAGCAGGCAGAAGACATCATTATGACGTCAGATTGACGTTGTACCCTAACGTCATGCACGTTGTATTTTGTTTGGAAATGAAAATCGGGTTGACGTCAGAACTCAACATCAGGCCAACGTTAATCTCCAACCTAAAATCAACCAAATATCAACATCTAATTATGTTATAGCTTGACGTTGTGGACGTTGCCACTATGACGTCTATCAGATGTTATATTTGGTTGCCATACCTGATGAATAAATGTCAGTATTTGACGTCAATACGACGCTGGTTTAAGTTGTTGGCTACACGTTGATTCTAGTCACTTTTTAACAAACTAAAATCAACCAAATATCAACTTCAATTGACTTGGTATTGGACATCTAAACAATGTTGTCCTTAGACGCTGGCTAGACATTGATTTTTGGTCACCTGACATCACGACCTGAATCTTATACCTAATATTAACAACTTATGACTTTGTGTGCCTGCAGGGCAATAACTAAACGCAGTACAGAATGTTACGTTTAAACACACACACACATGTACAAATTACATGTTAATGCATCAGATTTTTACAGTGTAATACTCACTCACTACTCTTGAGTACTTTAGAAAGCTCTACTTTTTAATCATACTCTGAGTGACATTTGCAACAGATACTTTTACTCTACTTGAACTATTTTTTTAGGCAAGTAATGGTACTTTTACTGGAGTCTCTTTACCACTGGTGATACATATTAAGATATTGTATATCATTTCAGCAGGTTAAATTAATAGCTCAAATTGGAAAGAATTTACATTATTTTACATTGATGATTAGAGAGATTTTCTAGATTGCATCTGCATTAAATATAATAAACTAATCAAAAGTACTGATAAAATTAGCAGAGCAAAGTTATAAATAAAGAAAACAACAACAACAGTTCTTTTTTGCAGTCTAGCAGCATTCAGGTAATTAAGTAATCAAATAACAGTGTAGTTTTCATTGTGTGTATATATACTACCATTAATATTTGTAAAAGTTAAAACATTATAATTTCTTGTGCATTAATGCTTTAAATGCTTACACAATCAGAGGTCTTAAAAACACAAACACAATCAGCTGTGGTTCCTGGTCAACTGTAATCCTGCCTCAACATTGCAGATCCTGTGATGGGACTTGCAGTTGCTCACATTGCCATACTGATGTTGTAACTATATATAGAGCAGGCCTAGTTTAAGCAACTATAAATGTAATGGGGTAGATTTGAACACAACACTGTTTGTTTTTCAGGATCCAGGAGGACTCAGTGACACCACAACCGTTACAATAACCATTGTTGACAATGACAATCTAAACCCTTATTTTGATCACATCCTCTACAAGGCAACCATTAAGGAAAATGAGGTAGCAGAGAACAAGATCAATGCTTTAAAAACACATGTGTTAAAAAAATAAAACCCTCCATGTCGTTTCTGCTCATGCACAGATCGGACATTTCTCAGACGTCACTCCTGAGGCTATAAAAGCGCAAGATGGCGACACGGGCATCAACGAGCCTGTAGTTTACAGCCTAACAACAGGTACTGTTAAGCCCAAATTTACAATCCACAGAAAACAAAGGTTCTGGACAACACCAAATCATTTCCAAAGTTCTTCCGTAGTTTCATAAAATTTGAGATCAATCAACACTATTGATTTTATTAATGTCAAAGAAAAAAACAATCAACCACACAACACAGTCTCAAAACTCTTAGAGAAAGGAGGGAGTATTTTCTGCATCTGTAGAGCGTCTTTCTACTAACAATGAACTGTATATTTACTTGAAAAAACACCTTGTTGCTTGGAAATATAATGCTGCAGTACTGAAGTGGAGCAACATCGATATCAAGTTTCTGTACTTTGACCTTAACTTGTTTATATGAGTGCTGCACGATCTTTGATCTGAGTAAGAGTTAATACTAACCTAATTTACATTCCAGCCAATCAGAATCAAGGTTTCCTTCAATATGCATTATAGGTGCACATATTCCTAAAATAATATAGCATGTATTGATTCTGTATAAGTTTATTAACTAGTATTACTCCAGCACATGCGTGTGCAGTATAATAATACAATGCACTGATATTTTGATTTGATTCTGATAATGAAAATGCTGTTTATCAACATGGGTGATATGGAGGCTCAGTAGTCAGCACAATCGCCTCACAGCAAGATGGTTGCTGGTTTGAGTCCCGACTGGGTCATTTGGCATTTCTGTGTGGAGTTTGCATGTTCTTCCCGTGTTCATGTGGGTTTCCTCAGGGTGCTCTGGTTTCCTTCACAGTCCAAACACATGCACTATAGGGGAATTGGATGAACTAAAGTGGCCATAGTGTATGTGTGTGAATGAGTGCGTATGGATGTTTCCCAGTACTGGGTTGCAGCTGGAAGAGCATATGCTGGACAAGTTGGCGGGTCATTCAACAGTGGCAACCCCTGATGAATAAAGGGAGTATTTCAACTACTGTCGAAGGAAAATGAATGAATGTTTATCAACATATCTGTTCCAGTTCTTCCAAATGAATATCAGAGCATCTTTGATATCAACCGAGACAGTGGAGTCATTTCTGTGTCAACAGCCCTGGACAGAGAGGAGATTGACCAGATAACCCTGTACATACAGGTATCAGAGCTTTCTTAAAACATTCATGAAAACCATTAGGTTGATGCTCTGATTTCAGCAATCATATTCTTCTTTTAAAAACAGGCAGCTCAGCAGAATGATTCCAGTAAGACGGCCAACGCGGTGGTATCTGTTATTATTGAGGATGTAGATGACAACTCACCCAAATTTGACCAGGAAGAGTACATCATATCTATTCCAGAAAATTCTCCAAAGGATCAGTTTATGCTTCAGACAATAGTCACTGACCTAGACCTGGTATGGTTCCTAAAATCCTCATGATCTATTCATAAAAATAGAAATAGAGAAAGAACCTAAGTTACATCATCCCTAGGGAGGTTTTGTGGGAACATTACGATTCATTCCAGACTCTGTCCCATTTTCCATCAATCCTGATGGAAGTATTCTGGTGAAACATCCTGAAGATCTAGACAGAGAGACTACAGCCAGCTTCAGCTTTCAAGTAACAATGCGACAATATTATTTGATCACAGGGCTCGCAAAATCTAGTAGCCCAAAGTCCCTGGACTTTAGTTTTTTTCAGTCAAGCTACCAAAATCAAGCTATACCGTGTCCAGCAGGGTATCTAGATACCCCACTAGGCATGCTGTTGATAGATCTTGGTAACCTGACTGAAAAAACAATAGCCCCGGGACTACGAGCTACCAGATGTTGTGAGGCCTGCTGGTTCTTTAAACACCACTGCATACATGCATGCTAATTCTGCCTCTAAAATCAAAAGGTTGAAGCACAAGAAAACCCTCCTTCCACCAACAAAGAAACAGCAGATGTGACCATTATCTTGCTGGACCAGAACGACAACAGTCCACAGTTTACAGATTCAGAATATGAGGGCAAAGTTTACGCTGACCAGACTGTTGGAATGGAGGTTGTCAAGGTGATGAATCGTTGCTTTGGCATTAAAAGCCATTTAATTGTTTTCCAGCAATACTTCTGTGTATTTCCATAGATTATGCAACCAATATGTCATTATAAGATGACTACTTAACCACAAACACTTGAAATATTTTGTGAAGTATCTGTAACTAAACACAGATTCATCTTTATGTAAGGTTGAAGCAACAGACCTGGATGAAGGTCCAAATGCAGAAATCAGTTATTTCATTGAGTTCGGAAATGAAAAAGGCTTTTTTGGCCTCAATGAGAAAGATGGGGCGATTACTCAAGTACAAGTAATCCCATTGGTGGAAAATGAAATCCTCGAGTTTGCACTCTACATCACTGCAAGAGACGGTAAGTTTTCACATGTGTTTGTTTTAAAGAAATTTGATGGAGTTAAAATTCATGTAGATGCATTACTGGTGGCTTTATATGCTGAAATTCTTCTCACACCTATAGGAGGCGCTAGAAGCTGGTCAACCCCTGCAATGGTGCATATCCAGGCACTCGGAGAGTCTAATCCTCAATTCCTTCACAAAACCTACCAGGGACAAGTAGAGGAGAATCAAGAAGATGCAGAGATTGTGAAGGTCTGTACAACACAAGTTTCTTTATAAGACTCATACTGTAGGTCTCAAACTCGATTCCTGGAGGGCCGCAGCTCTGCACAGTTTTGCTCCAACTTTAAAGGTGCAGTGGGTGATCTTCCACAATGCTAACAGCTTAGCATAAATCTCTGAATCACAGTCCCTCCCCTGCCGCCTAGAGCCACACCTCCTGAAACACGAGCACTGCAAAAGAACCCTCCCTCATGTGTTAAAAGCGACTAGGGCTTGTCCGGCGGCGTGCAAGCCAAACTGACATGCCATTTCAGAACAAATATTTAGAGTTGCATGGTAAACAATATACGTAGGGAGAGACTAGGCGAAATAGTGGTATTTACTTCTGTTTTGTTGTTTAACCAATTAAAACCTACATCAATACTTGTCACTACTTAATATAGTCTTTTCAATCTTTCATCGAAAGATTTTAGTGGCTGAACAACACTTCTGCAAAGAAATAACCCATTTACAACAACAACATCTAACGTTACATCAGCTTTGCGTGAAGCTAAAACAGTTTTAAAACAGAACATTCCCTGTCTAAGAGAAATCCTTTAGACATGTTGTCATCCTTTCTCCAGCGTGCAATGGTAACTCCAATATTGATTCGGTCAGACTCTATTTAATTGAATTAACATTTTTATGCCTTGTTTTATGCCTTACCCAAAATATAAAAATATATATAAACACATTTAGATCATTTACTGTAATCATCACTATTAGACTGTGGAGAGACTTTCAACCAGCACAACAACAAATGCTTCTGAAGACAATCACCTACTGCACCTTTAATCAAGCACAGCTGATGTAAATAATCAAGATATTCAAAAGAGTCTTGAACACCTCGATTAGTTGAATAAGCTGTGTTTGATTAGGGTTGGAGCAAAACTGTGTAGAGCCGCGGCCCTCCAGGAATCGAGTTTGAGACCTATTTCTTTTATCCTTCACCATAGTTGTTATATGAATCATATATGGGCTTGGAAGGACTTTACAACACATTCAAGCACATGTAAAACTCTGATTAGCTGGTTAATGTGTGTTTAAAGTCTACATGGACCGGAAGTTGCTAAGACTGAAACTGAAACTTTTTTATTTCAATATGTTGATGTACTTCCAACTGAAACGGAATATTAAGTAGGAGGCGGGGCTTTCTTTTTGTGCATCATTCCCTTGTAGCAATCGAAGAGTAAATGGGGTGTGGTTAAGTAAATTGTGTATGAATGTGTCAAGCTGACATCATAGCAGAAGGACCGCCACTCCAAACGCAGAAGTAAATGCTTAGACTTTGATTGAAGATTACCAAAACAAACATTTTGTCTGTTCATTAACTTGAACTGATTAATTGTTTATCTAAACAACAATGTGCCCAAGCAAAATAAACAGTACATTTGTATTTCCTACTTTAAGTTGGGAGGGAGCTAAACCATGCAGGCTAGTGTCTGGGAGTATACCTAGTATACTCCTGCAGTAAACTAATCTAATCAGGAAACGTTGTGTGCTCTCTCATTCACAGGTTAACTTCCTATCTATTGATCCTATTGTTCCGGTAAACTTAACAGTTGAGACTGAAGGTGACAAATTTGCCATAAACAAAGATACAAGAGTTTTATATACCAAAGTCAAGCTAGACTATGAGGAGAAGAGCAGCCACACTGTGTTGCTGTCGATATCGGATGGGACCAACCGGGATGAGGCATCAGTCCTGGTTGAAGTGCTGGACGTCAATGACAACAGTCCAGAGTTTGAAGATCACCCTCCTACTGTCTCCATTTCAGAGAATCACATTGTTGGGGAAGATGTAGCATCAGTAAAAGCCACGGATGCAGATGCAGGATTTAATGCTGAAGTCGTGTACACTCTCCTGGGAGGTGCTGGGAGGTTTAATATTGATCAAGAAACAGGAGTGATAACTCTAGCAGCTTCACTGGACAGGGAAGCCCAAGACGAGTATCATTTAGTGATCACTGTCCAAGATCAGGGTCGTCCGTCACTTTCCACCACCACTGATCTGGGCATCACCGTGACTGACATCAACGACAATTCTCCCATATTTTCCAAACAGCAGTATGAGACCACAATGTTCGAGGATGCTGATGTAGGAGCAGACGTGGTAGTCGTCATGGCAACAGATAAAGATGATGGTGTAAATGCTGTTGTGAGCTTTCACATTGTCAATCAGCAGCCATCTTCAGACACGCCTGTATTCAACATTGATTCTGATTCTGGTTCTGTAACCCTTGCTGGAAAGTTGGATTATAGTAAAGCCAAACGGTATACTCTAGATGTAGAGGGACGAGATGGAGGAAGCCCTTCTCTTACAGGCAGTGCAGTTGTTATAGTGTGGGTAGAGGATGTGAATGATAAACCTCCTGTGTTCAGTAAGGATGAGTATGCTATGTCCGTCTATGAAAACCTTGCGGGTGGAACTGCTTTGGTATCCCTGGAGGTTACAGATGAGGACAAGGTGAGAGATCTCCCAACTACATCTCTTGTGGCAGTCGAGCAAAATCCACTAAAGTAAAGTAATTTAAGAAATCTTTTTCCCATCAATCAGCAGTATAATTCATTCAGGTCTAATTTAGTCCCAAATTTCAATAAAAAATCATTCCCCAATAACACCTCTCCAGGACTAATATCTGCCACTACAAAATCAGTTACTACAGCTAATGCGTCAAATTGACAGATCGTTGTCCATCTGCCCATTACTTCCATTTTATGGAAGTAATTGGTCACTAACATACTACCATTATACTGCATTGAATCAGTTCCTCCACCTGTCACTTCCACCCAGAGCTGTTTGGGTACAACTGATACTTGTGCTCCTGTATCAATTAAAAGGCATGTATGCATTCCCCCAACCTTGCCAACCAAATAGTCCCCTGTCGTTCCCACCTGTGGCTTCTTTACCTCTCCCATCATAGACGCAGTATGAAGAGGGGCGGGCACTTGGTCTACCGCACTCACCCCCTCCCGTTTCCCGACACATATGGGTAATCTTTCTTGAAGTGACGAGTACAGCCACACTCCCAGCAAGCCTCACTCTTCTGCTGGTCCTCTCGGGCACTATCAGTTTTAAAGGTTCTCATATCACGCCGATTATACAAGCTGTCATTCTGTGAAACTGGCCTAGAGGACTCATTCAGTGTCAGATCTTGTATTTTAACCGTGCATTGCAGATTTGACTTCTTGATGCAGCCCTTCTAACATAGTTACTAACGCTTGCAATTGCCCATCACTTACAGTTCCCATACTTTCATTTGTAACGCCACAAACTTTCGCGTTCAGGGGGCTGAGTTCCTTTCAAGGTCTCTAATTAACTCCAATTTGGACGCCAGGTTAATCGCGCCCTCTAAAGTGGCTTAACACCTAACTGCGCAAATTAATTTGTTTATCAGCATTACCTACATTGGCAATAAAATAATCTCAAGTGTATAAATCTGTCGTAGTGCTTTCTACAGAGGGATATGCTTTCATAATTAGATGTCTTCGAAAGTTACCAAACTCCTGTTCCGTTTCAGTCGGCTGCCTCTTACGAGAAGAAAAGCTTACTTGATTCCAGTTAGCACTTTCACACGTCTCTAAGCATTTACCCATTGCTGACTTTAATTGTGAAAAATTTTGACGACCTTCATCAGACAACCCACAAAAAAGATCTCGCGCATGAGCGGAGAGCAACAGGGACATAAACTTTCATTTAAGCTCATCATCCAACTCATTTATCCCCCAGCCATCTCAAACTGACCTGCCCAATCTGACCATTCACATCCTGTGCCTGTAAACGTCTCAGGGATAAAAACAGGATGGGGCGCAGCATTCATCTGCACGAGAACATTAACATTTAATACAGGCATGGTGTTACTGCCGCTCTCACCCTCCGACTGTGGTTCTGATATCCTAAACAAAATGTTGATAAGTTTTCAAATAATCAATTTGATGCTTAACCCCACCACCACTGCCACCAGTGTAATGAACCTTATTGACATTTATGTCTGTCAGAAAAACACCACGCACAATGTTACGTACGAAAGAGACAACGCTTTATTTACTTTAAGAACTAGGGGCAAATTAAATGCGGTAACCAGGGTGAGAGATATAGTTGCCACAGTGAGTTTAACACATTACTACAACAGTGTTTCGGATAGCACCCAACACCTCAATCTACACTGCACACAAAATTAAGGTGCATTCCCTATAATCATATATCCCCCTCACTTGCCTCCAGCTCTAATCACCTTTCACACACATAGCAGTCGCACTCAACATACAACAGGCATAAACACAAATAAAGGTTTTAAAAAGACGTACCTCCACACAGCCATTAAGACCCAGCCAAGGAGAAAGGCACCAGCGTCATCACACAGAGTAGGGAAGAGCCCACTTCCACAATCACAAAGGCCCGCTATAGGATTCATCTGTCTGTAGTCTAAAGGCAGGGCCAGGATACTCAGTTCATTCATAAAATGTGTAGAGAAGGCGGGGCTGGACTCCACAACTCACCCAACACATGACTTGGTAAGGAGAGAGGCTTAGGCAGAGGTAGTGGTCAACTAAACATTTATTATCCACCCCATAACTCGACTATTTCACATACGAAGCCCTGTCTGACTAACTATCTTCATCTCCGGAGGGCATATTGCCCCTGAGAGACAGCCCAACAGAACCCACAACTCATCACCTGGGAGCTTACGTCTCTTTCCTGCACGCCTCATTTTAAGAATCTCATCATAAGCGGTCCACAGGTGAATCCACTGAGGAAAACCACATGGTCCTGAGATCACAACATTCCACAGAATGTGTTTAACAGCTGCCTAGCAATACCTCTTGCCAATACCCAGAACAATCCCAGAGCAATCGTCTGGAAAAAAAAAACTAATCTACAACTAATGTACACAATTGCAAAGGTGCTTCATGTGCAGGTACCCAGCACATCTCGTCTTGCAACTGCATGCTAACTCATAATAACATCTTAGAGCACTCTAACAACAATTTAAGTCTAAGGTTGAGTTCACACTGCACAATTTTAGCTTTAGGTTTTGTAAAATCATTGACAAATAGTCATGCTGTGTGAAAACAACTGTAATTCGACAACTTTGGAAAACTTAGCTTTTTTTTGATACACTTACCTACCTCCTTTCTTTTTATTTAGGATGGGTTCTCTAAGGGTCACTTTATTATGGATAGCGATATCTTTGTTATCAACAGTCAAGGACTTATATCACTCGGGAGAGATGCCACCTTGGATAGAGAAACTAATGACCATTACACGCTAGAGGTGCAAATCTATCATAACTGTTTACAAAATGCTTAGGATGTTCAAATACTCATATTAAATATAATGCTTGCATTTTCAGGTAGTTGCCGTAGACCAGCCTGTTGATGGTTTAAGGTCCACAGCTCAGGTCATCATCACTGTCCTGGACATCAACAACAACAACCCACAATTCCTTCCTCTGCCAGAGCCCATTGAGATTCAGGAAGGCGAATATACGCAGTCATCACCTGGAGAGGTGTGCAAAATTTCAGCAACAGATGCTGATATTGGAGATAATGGACTTTTCAGCTTCTCTACTTCTTCTTACAGCAAATACTTCATTTGCAGTGATGTGAGTACCTAACAATAAAGCATGTGTTGTTTGAAGTTCAGATCGTACTTACTCTTCTTACATTAAAAATTCTCCCCGTTAGGATGGGACTCTACAAGCTATCAGTGAGTTGGATCGAGAGATGCATGATGTCTATGATGTGGTCATCACTGCTGTGGATCATGGGATACCACAGTTAAATGTAATTCACTTTCTTTGTGTGTTCGATTTGCATGACTTGACTGGATACTTCCACAAACATAGCACATTCTAGAAAACACAGACAACAGGATTAACAAACTATGGTTTGAGTTTGTTATAAATTGGATAGCCATCCATGCTTCTGTACATATGCCTACTAGAGTTTAGCTCTAACACTGAACCAGACTTACAGGGTGTTCAGAATTGCTTAAAAACTACAAGTGTGTTGGAGCATTGATGGATCTGAACTGTACTGAAAAGTTGCTCCCCTAATCAGGATTGACAGCTTACTCTAAAGCAGAGGTATCCAGTCCTGCTGTGGTAGAGCTAATATCATGCACTTTTAAGCTCCCTTTATTAATAAACACATCTGGACCAATAACTCAAGGTCTTGGTAAGCATATCAGGAACTTCCAAGAGTGTCAAGACAAACTGGATTAAAAATCTGGATCCCGAGGACAACGTTTTTGCTCTAAAGTGCAAGTAGGCAACCCTGCTCATGTAAAGAAACCTTCAAGAAGAGTTTAACTCAAAACTTAATCTGAAATCCTTCAACAAGGTGTTCAATGATTACCAGAAAGTTACAGAATGTTTGATCAATGTTGGAGCTAAACTCTGCAGGCATGTAGATCTCAAGGGCCAAGAGTAACCTAGCTGCAGCAATGGTTTTTTTTTTTTGGATGTCTTCCTCACACTTGACTGACAAGTTTCGGGTATTGGAGTCTATATTAACAAGCTAACATGTTGAATAAAGTCTACTTGATTAGGATGAGATTCAAGATGGTTCCTTGTGTGCCAATCAAAGAACAGGGTTGTAAAACACTGCTGTATCCAACTGCCTATCTGCAATTCAACTTTTCAACAATTCAGCAAAGATAAAATGTTTTCTTTGGTTGATTTCCCCTCAGAATATGACCACAGTGAGGGTCAGTATCACAGATGTCAATGACAATGCTCCAGTCTTCAGCTCGGAGACTTACAGCAGAAGTATTCTGGTTAGAGACGCAAAGGTTGGAGAGTTGCTGCTGACAGTCTCTGCCACAGATAAAGATGCTGGAGACAATGCACTTATTACCTACAGGTAAACACAAGCTTTATTTTCACAATCAAGACATCAGATAAGATTCCTATTAAAGGTATAAATATTTTTCAGAAACAATAAAGGAAACCTGATGCATTAATATCATCTTTCTGTAGTTTCTCTGAGGTTTCCTCTATTGTTGCACTGGATGCTGAAACAGGCGACATCACTTTGACCTCTGACCTTAGTGAGGTCACAGAAGACACACTGCTAACCCTTAGTGTTATAGCAACAGATCATGGAGCAACACCTTTATCTGATGAAGGTTTGGATTTAGTTTGCTCAAATTCTTTAGGGAATCTGGTATTAAATCAACATATGAAGTAAACAACACTTATTACAAAGAGTTAGTTCAAACTGAGAACATTCCATGCGCAATATTTAAATCATACCTGAAGAACGTCTAAGCTAACATCTTTGTTCTCTCTGTAGCCGAAATCTTGATCCACTTCAAAATTGCTGAGAGTGTGTATTTTGAGAGTTCCTCCTACAACTTCATGATCAAGGAGAATGAACCCGAGGAGACAATAGTAGGCACGGTCAAGGCATTAACAGGGAGTCCACTGGTTACAGTCAACTATAACATGAAGTCACACGAGGACGTCTTCTCTGTGGATGCTGAGGGAACCATAAAAGCTCTAAAACTACTTGACAAGGAGGACGTGGAGTGGTACATCCTCACTGTAGAGGCTATAGACTCCAGAACTCCTCCGAACACTGCAGAGACAACGGTATCATTCTCAGTACAAACTCACGCCATGAACAAACTCTATAGAAGCATGCAAGTGCAACAATCATTTTGGCATCAACATGCCTTCTTTTAGTTATTAAAGTGCACTGCAAAAATACCTTTCTTACTTAGAGTTTAGGTCTTGTTTTTAGTCCAAATATCAACAAATTCTAAGATCAAGACAAAAAACATTGTCGTGTTTTCAGAAATAAAGGCCCAAAATCTGGCATTAGTGTAAAAATAATAATCTTGTTTATCCTTTAAACATAAAGTTATTTTGCTTACCCCAATTGCAGATTATTGTGCTTGTTTTAAGAAAACACTCACTTTTTTGACATATATTTTTTTTTAAAACAAGACACTATTTTTTGCTTGTCTATAAAATGCTTCTTGATTTAAGAATTCTTTGATATTTCGACTAGAAACACAACAAAAACTTGGAGCTTTTTTACAGTCAGTGTATCTATGGCAAGTTCGCCTCTATTGAAGTTTTATACCATCAATTTGTTGTCAAAGCCATGCAAATGTGTAATTTCTTTTCAGCTGACAGAGGGTGTCAGAGGGTGTTTGTTGTCTCGTCTGTCATCAGATTAATTATTCTGTTCTATGTGTGTGAGGCTAATGTGTTTTGTTTGTATAAACATGGACAAACGATCTCAATTAAGGAGATTTGACTCCTGGGTCTTTGAAGACTAAGGTGTTATCTATGTGCCTGGGTTTACCTGTGGCTATGTGTCCGTGTAATGCTCCGAACAATGGTAATCAACTTTTATAATTGTGTTGCAAAATTTTAGTCCTGTCTTAGCAGGGAGCCAGCATAAGAATGTGAACATGAGGTGTGTTCCGGCTCAAATTGATTCCATATAATATCTTTTACGGAGCATGTTAAGGTGCAATGTTCAAAGCTGGATCCTGTAAAAAATGCATTTTCATGGTTAATTTAATTATCACACTCTATACTCCTGTTTGTAGTTCAAACTGCAGCTATACAGGGGATAGCAGAGTTTTCTACTTTTGGAGATCAAAGAAACAAATATCATGAATTTCAACATAGTTAATTCCATTTTCATACAGGACATGTGGTTTAACATGTGTATAGTATAAAAACAAATTTAAAAATGCCACCAGGATTCTTAACAATAGAGTCTTTTGCTATTGTTCTTGCAAGGATAATGCATTGAAGTTTATTTTTGCCTCTAGGTAACCAGGCTTTTAGTCCCATTGCTATTAAACAATTTGGGAAGATTTTAACTATGAGATCTTTTTGTGTCTCTGTTTCATTTAACATGTAAATTTACATCTTTGTTGAAGAAAGATGTTTTGTGAAATCACATAGCCTCCTAGAATGCTGAATCCATTGATAAGATCAGCTGTGGATAATTGTTATTCTGATGACTGATCAAAGACTTTTTTCAGAGGACTCACTGCAGGTGAGGTGTTAGCACCACAGGGGTTCTTGCTTTGAGATGCAAGATGGGAGACTTTTGGCCTCAGGTTATGGCCTAACCTTTTGTTGCCCTCATTTGTATTTGTTTGATGTGGACCGGATCTGGAGTGTTCTTTGTTATTGGTCCGCCTAAGATGAGAACAAAAGCAGAGAGAACCATTTTTAGAATTTTCATCAGTTTCAAATTCAATCATGTGGAATTAATGTTAATGCATCATCTTGCAATATTAATTCTGGAAGCCACATGATGTTGCTGGTCAGATGTGAATTGCTGTTGTTGATTTCAGCATATTGTGAGTGTGTAACACCTGTTTACACAGTCTGCTGTATTCTGAGCATTATCTCCCAGTTCCGCTGGGGACATTTTTCTGAATCAATCAATGATTTTTCATTAATTTCAGTTCACAATCTAATGGGCCGATACCCATAGTTCATTTTTTGCTCTCATTAACAGTCAGATCTGTTGGCAGAAATCATTTCACCCTTTTGGTGTTCTCTGCTTAACGGTTGTCATTTTATGGTGTGACTCACAGGTTAGATCTTTTGACCCATAAAAACTTTGGTAACTCTGAATGTTATCATATCCATCCCCCTTTCATTATTTTTCTGGTGAGTTTAATTCTCTGATCAAATTTTAATTGTAGGTGGTGTTTTTCAGCGAGGATTTTATTGGTTTACAATCAGTTATGCTATAGTAGTTCTGTCAGTGTTTTCATTAAGCATAAAGAAAGCAAACCTCCTCAAGGTGAATGTTTCACCCTTGGTCTTTAGTGCCATGATTGGCGATTATAATATAATGTTCATTATTGTTTATTCCTAATGTAATTATATTATATTAAAATAGTAAATATTAAAATTTAATTATATCTGGTCTCTGGAGAGTGTTTTTAGAACAACAGTGCATTTTAGCTTAATGCTTTTATCTTGTGATCAGGGTTGTGTTTGCTTGTAAGTTGCATGGAGAACAAAAGGGTCAGCAAAGGCTTGTGGCCAAATGGAATAATGTTATTGTTTTATGCAAATACAGCAAACACATTCCGAGCATCTTATTATCACTGAGGTGAGATTTCTCTGCTCTCTGTCAGGACATTTGAATATGAAAAGGTTTGAGCCATCAGGAGGTCTAAGGGCTGATTTAAAGTTAAAATCTTAGAATTTC